TCCGAGCTGCTTAGGTGGCAGGTGCTTGTGTGAGCGGTGCCAGTCCATGAAGTTCATCGTGTTGCTTTTCAGGGTCCTGGTTCGTATATCATGAACTACATAATGTCTGTCTTCTGGGCCTTGAGTTTCACCTTCCTCGCCGTCTCCCTGGTAAAGGTGTTTGCTCCGTATGCCTGAGGCTCTGGGATTCCAGGGGTAAGCTGTGCAGTGTTCAGTGTCATTAACATTGAGTAATTGTGACACTTGCTTCTTGCCTGTGGGGTAAAAGGTAGTGGCTTTTCTTGGGGAGTGATTTGTCTGGAATATGAAAAAGAAAATTTTAAAAATGTAAGCTGATGGTAGACATTGCTGAAAGAAATTCTTCCCCATTTCTGTGGAGGTTGATTTTTTTTTGTCACCACTAATTCAGCATATGACTAAATAAATATCCCAAGAGACTCAGTTAAACACCAAGAACCTGCAAAATACCTTGCAGCCTAAAGTTCTTTGATGAATGAGTTGATGTTTTGCTCTTAGGAACTGAGTTTGAACACATTCATCCTCTTTTTGTAACTATCTTTTAATTAGATAAGTTAATAATCCTTGAAATTGGCAGATAATACTTATAACTGGTTTATACTTTAAAATAAATGATCATAGTGGTCAGTAGTACAAAATTTTGGATTTTGTTTTTTATTGATAGTAACTTAAGAAGGTATTTAGGATTAACTATGATGTGAACTCATTTCTTTTCTTCTTTTTATTTTTCTGTCTTAAACAAGTTACTAGCTTTTTCTAGTGCATGTCTGTTAAAAACAATTTTAGTGATTTTTAAGGCTATATTAAGACTGTCTTTTTTTAAGTTTAATGAGGAGCAATAGCATGTAGGATTTAGCAGTTGTCACTCATCCTTCTTGATGTAGGAAAATATTACACATAATTACAATATTCTGAGAAGGCATAATATCTTTATTTCTGACACAGAATGTCTAAAATGTATCAAACTATATTATGTTTCTACAACAGAAATATTCAGATTTAATTTTTCCGGGTTCTGTAATTATGTCCCTTGTGTTAAACCCTGTATCCCCTTAACATGGCCTGGCATTTTAGTTTTGTTCATGAGATAGGGTCGCCTTCTCTCCTTGCTTGGGGAGAGGATTAGAGTACCATGCAGACTTGTTCTATACAGTGTAGTTTTTCAAGCTTCTGAAAAATGCATTATGAGTTGTTCCATCTGTGCCAGAATTTGCAAGATGAATAAGACAAGAGAATAACTTAAGTTCTTATGTTTTTAAAGGAAATTAAGCTGCCTTGATCCTTCCTTTGTAGATTACAACTATTCTGAGTGGATTCATCATCAGAGGTTACTTGGGAAAATGGACTTTAATGATTAAAACCATCACGTTAGTTAGTACTGGCTGTGGCCTCGGGTTTGAGTTTAGGAAAAGAAGGATCCCTGGTGCATGTTGCCCGTTGCTACGGAAATCTCTTTTCCTGCCTCTTTCCAAAGTACAGCACAAACGAAGCTAAGGAAAGGGAGGTAAGTGTCTTGGCAGATAAATATCTGTTACATAGACTTACATCAGCGAAGAATTTCCTAGTGTAAAGATCATGTTTCATTCTTTCCTTCTTGGATAAATTCTGTATTCAGATTTAAAGTTTAATTTGAGAATCGTTTGTGCTTCTTTTTTCTTCTTTAAGTCATCTCTAGCATCTTTCTGCAGTCCGTCCCCAGTGCTGCTCATTTGCTCCTGTATTTTAGGAAAGTTTTAGACAGACGGCTGGTGTCCATTGGTCACAGCTGAGTTTCACAGAAGTCTTTCCCTTTGCTTCTGCTCTGCCTCACGCCTCCCCTGCTCTGAAGTGTGACGTGTGCCACTGGTTCGCTCCTGCTTCTCCCAGACTGAGAAGTCTCACCCACTGATTTCCCCCCGCCCCCTCCTCATCCTTCTCCAGTGGTGTGTGTGTGTGTGTGTGTGTGGTGCCTTGGTATGTAAATGACTAGACTTTACACGTTAGTTGGAAGCATTTAGGCTTCATATTTCACTTTCTTCTTCTGCCCACTTAACATTTTTAAATTAAATGGTTGTTAGATACTTATGAAATGGATTGAAAGTGTGTGAGTTATAGGTATGTGGATGTCGGCTTGATTGTAAAATTCTATTGTGTTAAATGTAGAATCCGAGGATTCAGTTAAATGTGTTGTCTGCAGTTCTGAGGGAAAGAAACAATATTAAGTTACCTTTGTTCTCCTGGCTCTCCCAGAGGAGCACTCCCAGTGTGCCCTCTCCAGCCAGGTGCAATTTAATTCCAACAAGGCTTCGTTCATTTTTAATTTACCAAACAGCAGCCTGACTGTGGAGTTCATGCTCTTAACATTTACAATTTAATTTTATTTATTTCCAGTTTCTCTTTCAGAGATGTAAAAATTCACCATTTGATGAAATGCTTTGGTAGCCTCAAATATTTACTGGAGTAAAGCAGTCATAGGAATAAAGACTCTTAGAAAAGTCATGGTAAATAGATGCCCAGTGAATTTTTGTGTGTATTTGGCGTCCCACTGGTGGGAGGTGGGCAGCTGCCCGTGGTGGATGAGGGAGCTGGAGCCAGGACCCGGGGTGCTGGGTCTTTCTTCCTGTGACTGGCTCGGAGGGCTTTTGGGTGGTGGGACTGTGCCCGGGCGTGGCAGTGGTTCCTCATTCAGGTGAGGCTTTTCCGTGCTTGAGATAGCGGTCTCTTCAGAGGACTGGGGTGCTGATAATGTAGGGAACTCAGGAGGTTTCAGGTCCCCTGTATATTTTACTAGGGTTAGGAGTAGAGTAATTATTAGCGATGGAGTGGTTAGCTCTGGAAACTGAAGAACTGATACCCTCTTTAAAAATAAACATATCCCCTCCCCGCCCCAGTTATGCTCTCTCCACGGTCTTCACAAGTAAACATCTTGATGTGTCTGCGTCCATTGCCTTTTCTTCTTTCCATCTTATTTACGTTGGTGTATCTCCCACCGATGTTTAACTGAATATTGAATACATGAATGACCTTTCAATTAAAGCAGAGGAGGAAAAATAATCTTATGAAAAGAAGTATTTACCTTTGGGTCAGGGGGGAAAAGGGAGACATGCGAGTCAAATTCAGAAGC